GAGGCCAGTATTTAAACGAGACTTAATTTTCTAATTATGAGTGGTTGTTTGTTTTGTGAGCAATAAAATAATTTAAAAATAATTTTTAACGATACGATAGCGACGATTATTATTTTTTAAAAAATTTGTTAGGCTTAACATCGATGAAAATTCAATGCGAAGTTGGTTAATAGCGATATACTAATATACTAATTACATTGGATATACTAATATACTATACTAATAATGTATTTTTTTTTCTTTTTTTTCGGTTATCCGATTTTTCAGTTATCTGACCAACCTGAGTCCCCAATTGAGTCGGATAATCGATGCTCTACTGTATTTATATATTTTACAAAATATTTACAACAATTAACATGTATAATGTATAAGTTTTTCCAAGTTGTTACACATTTTAACGATAAAATTAACCACTTTTTAATGTTCAAAAACTTTTTAAATTAATCTTTAACATTACTGATACTAAAGTTTTTGTTTTGTACATCTTTTTCATGATCTGTGGCTTTATTGTTTCATCAACATATATAAGTATAGATTATTATAATTCACTTTGAATATAAATAAATAATTATAAAATGTTTCTTCACAGGTTATCAACCTGTATTTGTTGGAAGTTATTTACCATTTGAAAATGGATATCACATTATATATGATAATCGGGTGAGTGTATCGAGAAATTATAATTTATTGGTATGTCTTAAGTAAACTACAGTAAGTAATATTCAAGTAAAAATAAACTCAAATTGTGTTTTAAGAAGCTAAAAATAAACATAAAATAGATCAGATGCTAATGCAACAATAAATAAATTCTTAACAAGAAGTTTAAATTTTCTTTCCATTTAAATTTGGTGGAAAGTTTATTTCCATTCATAAATGATATTAATACTTGCTGTAATAATGAATGATGCAATGGAAATTTGACATTCAAATATTCGTAAAAGTATTTTAAATAGACAAATATATTCAATTATCAGGTGTTTAATTTGTAACTCATATCACAAACAAATCAAACAAACTTAATTTCTCCAATACACTTAACACACAGAGTTTTATGTTACATGGAGACTTGATTTCCAGAACAACACTAACATATTTGAGTTATTTAATTTAGCAATTACAATTTTATATTATTTGAAAATCTAGTGTATGCTTGTTATATTCAGCAATTATATTATTGAGTTTTAATTTTTCGTCAGTTGAAGAATCTTGAATATATTCTTGGTAATAGTAAAAAATTATAATTAAAAATTTATTTCTTATTTTTCAAAAAGTTTACATTATATTATTAAAAAGTTTACTTTAAATCAAATTCATAAATTTGATTTAAAGTAAACTTTTTAATAATGTAAACTTTTTGAAAAATAAGAAATAAATTTTTAATTAGGCCTATATTTTTTACTATTACCAAGGATTGAATTTTACACAATAAAATAACTTCTATAGTCATTATTTCATTTTTGGTTATAAGATAAATAATCATTATTTATCTTATTGCAGTGGCATAGCTATATTAAGTATTAGATTAATTATAATTTTTATCTTTAATTTCTAACTATATCTAAAATAGCTATTATTAATCAATTTAATGCTTAATATTTCAGTATACTTTGCAAGTGCCCCAAAACGAACAGATGACAGATAAATATGAATATTGCTCACCTCCTCAAATGATCGGATATGGGCCAACACCCGTAGTAATTGGATATGTGTCGACACCCGTATTAATTGGATATTCGTCGATACCCGTAGTAATCGGATATGGACTGACACCCGAAATGAATGTATATGTACCTCCGCCAGCAAATCAGCATTATGGCCTGCCAACACAAGTGCTAGAACATCAGCAAGCGCAAGAATTATTTGAATATGAGCAACCATTTGAACTGCTCGAAGTTCAGCAACATCAGCAACAACCAGAAATTCTCGGACAGGAGCATTCAGCTCAGTTTACTTCAAGAATAGTACAGCCAGATTCAAAGCTGCCATCGGAAACTTCTAAATCTTTATTAGATTCGAGTCATCTGTCTATTAATGGTAAATTTTATTAATATTATAATTGTAATAATTTGATAGAAATAAAAAAACTATACAGTATTAAGACTGTATCTCTGTAGCAGTTGCGCGGGCCTGCAAACTAGCCAAACCGGAGTTTTTATAACAAAATTTTAATTATAGAGTCTAGAAAATGTATTCAAATAATTAATAGTAAATTAACATTTACATTTACATTTAGGAAAGTAGTAAATTAACAGGAAGAAGTAATAAACCGAAAGCGTCATTATCAGAAAAGGGTTGTAATCGGTTCTCCAGGCCCAGAGAACTGATTACAATTCTAAATTCATAAAATTCACAACAACCCGTTTGCAGTTATTACTTTCAGTTTACTTAGAGTCAATATTTTGAGACTTTGATTAATTAAATAAATTTTTAAATTAATGTTTTCTTTGCCTAAATAAACAATTCAATCTAATCCAAAATGTTTAAACTGTAAAAATTATTGGCGTATCCAATAAAGTAAAACACACCCCTTTAAAAAACTAACAGGTTAATAAAAAATTAATATATCCGAGAATATTATAATTGGATTCTACTCTTATTTTAGAAATTGTTTTTGATCTATACACTATATTCTTTCTATATTTAATCAATTTTATTAAACTTGTTACACATTTTAACGATAAAATTAACCACTTTTTAATGTTCAAAAACTTTTTAAATTAATCTTTAACATTACTGATACTAAAGTTTTTGTTTTGTACATCTTTTTCATGATCTGTGGCTTTATTGTTTCATCAACATATATAAGTATAGATTATTATAATTCACTTTGAATATAAATAAATAATTATAAAATGTTTCTTCACAGGTTATCAACCTGTATTTGTTGGAAGTTATTTACCATTTGAAAATGGATATCACATTATATATGATAATCGGGTGAGTGTATCGAGAAATTATAATTTATTGGTATGTCTTAAGTAAACTACAGTAAGTAATATTCAAGTAAAAATAAACTCAAATTGTGTTTTAAGAAGCTAAAAATAAACATAAAATAGATCAGATGCTAATGCAACAATAAATAAATTCTTAACAAGAAGTTTAAATTTTCTTTCCATTTAAATTTGGTGGAAAGTTTATTTCCATTCATAAATGATATTAATACTTGCTGTAATAATGAATGATGCAATGGAAATTTGACATTCAAATATTCGTAAAAGTATTTTAAATAGACAAATATATTCAATTATCAGGTGTTTAATTTGTAACTCATATCACAAACAAATCAAACAAACTTAATTTCTCCAATACACTTAACACACAGAGTTTTATGTTACATGGAGACTTGATTTCCAGAACAACACTAACATATTTGAGTTATTTAATTTAGCAATTACAATTTTATATTATTTGAAAATCTAGTGTATGCTTGTTATATTCAGCAATTATATTATTGAGTTTTAATTTTTCGTCAGTTGAAGAATCTTGAATATATTCTTGGTAATAGTAAAAAATTATAATTAAAAATTTATTTCTTATTTTTCAAAAAGTTTACATTATATTATTAAAAAGTTTACTTTAAATCAAATTCATAAATTTGATTTAAAGTAAACTTTTTAATAATGTAAACTTTTTGAAAAATAAGAAATAAATTTTTAATTAGGCCTATATTTTTTTACTATTACCAAGGATTGNTTTAGTTTTTAAAATTGATATGTTAATAATTAACATAATATTTCCAGTAGTTATTGATTTTTAGAATAAAGTATCTAACAGATATAAATCTCATTTGATATGATATGATTAACAGTTTCATCCTCACTCATAAAGTAGATTAAATGTTAACATTTCGCAACTAAATATTAAAAATACATTTAATTTTATATAAAATATAAATAATTATATTAAAATATGTTTAATATTTTTGAACAAATAGGAGAAAAATAGTATAATCAATATTATTATTAAAACCAAAACATTATTAACAATAATGTTTTGATTTTTTATTATTACTCAGGGCTAATATACAAAAATTTAGCAACGAGTTGCTTAACTTTCCCATCTCTTTTGTGGTCCTTTTCGAGTTTTATTTAAAAATATTGTGTATTTATAAAATAATACTGCTGTGGTTCTTATGTACAGTACCAAGACATAACAAGTGAAAACATTGGAATTGTGTCAAATTAGACCTTCTGAGTTTTTGCAAATCTCCAGGTTTTGAGACCTTTT